TTCAGGAGCATGTTGCTGACGTCAAACTGATGAGTAACAATGGAAATTATTAATTTCTGTCCACATATTTAACGAATATAATCTACCTCCTAACTTCAGTTTCGGACCCCCGACTTTAATCTCGGACCCCCGACTTTAAAGTCGGACCCCCGACTTTAATCTCGGACCCCCGACTTTAAAGTCGGGATTCAAAAAAAAAGTATAGGTGGCCCTTCAGCGCCTTCGTATTTTATCGTATCGTGTAAGCCATAATAGATATTTGACAGTGATTTCCAATTAATCAGACAAAAATCGTTTCTCTAGTCTAAAGATGAAGAAGTGAAAATGGAAGATATCACCCTGTATATACAGGGTGTTCCTTAAAGACATGCTAATTTTTAAGGGGGTAATTTTTTTACTCATTTCAAGAAGAAAACTTCATATGAACGTCGTATGTCCTAAATGTCTTAACTTCTGAGATACAGGGTGATGAAGTTCTGAAAAATATTCAGTTTTTTGATGATAACTGAGACAATATTGTATACATCTGCATGAAATTTGGTACACATATTTTATGCATCAAGGTGCATTTTCTGATGTGCAACAAATTTCATTTTCTTCACTAGTGGCACCATACGGGAAAATGTTTGTTTATATTTTACTCAAAAGTGAGCAACGACAAGAAAATTTTCAAATTTTATACCATGCTATACAGGGTGGGTCACGGTCGATGGCACCTTAGACGTTTACGGAGAACGGGACATAAGATCATTCTGAAAATTTGGTTACTCAAGTAATTGCTTTTGTTCTATCGATCTAAAATATTTTCAGCCCTGCGGCGTTGCCGCTTCTATCGAAAAGTAGCAACAACTTTGTTATTTTAAATGGAACACCCTGTATTTTATCGCATTTTCAGATTCTCTCTGAAGAGCTGATTTCATCGATGTATCACACTTGGGGTCTAGCGGAAATGATTACAGAGATATAGGGTGTGAAAAATCGACATTTTTCAACTTTAGGAATTTTTTTTGTCGAAACTATTCATTATTGGTCAAAACGGCTCACATGTCCCTATTCCAACTTTTGATCAACTATCTACTGACATTTAATTGAAACAAATTCAGGGTAGTGCAGAATTCAGATTCTTGATCACCCGGTATATTTCCCAATTAAATATCAGTAGATAGTTAATCAAAAGTTGAGATAGGGACATGTAAGCCGTTTTGACCAATAATGAATAGTTTCGACAAAAAAAAATCCATGAGTTGAAAAATGTCGATTTTTCACACCCTATATCTCTGTAATTATTTCCGCTAGACCCCAAGTGTGATGCATCGATGATATCAGCTCTTCAGGGAGAATCTGAAGATGCAATAAAATACAGGGTGTTCCATTCAAAATAACAAAGTTGTTGCTACTTTTCGATAGAAGCGGCAACGCCGCAGAGCTGAAAATATTTTAGATCGATAGATCAAGAGCAATTACTTGAGTAACCAAATTTTCAGAATGATCTTATGTCCCGTTCTCCGTAAACGTCTAAGGTGCCATCGACCGTGACCCACCCTGTATAAAAGGCTATTCAATCATGTACAAAAAAGATCCTCTTGTTGATACTCGATAGAACGCTTCGTTTTCGAGGAAACACGGAAAAACGAAAAATGGGAGCATCCCACGAGCCCAATTCCCACGATGCCCAATTCCCACGATGCCCAATTCCTACGATGCCCACCTTCATGTCGACGATTACGAAAATTGCCGAAGAGCGCAACGTTGCCAGGTCAAGAGAAAAATTCAGAAAACACAAGAAGCCCACCATGCCCACTTCTCATATATTCCCACGATGCCCAATTCCCACCATGCCCACTTTTCATTCATTCCCACGATGCCCAATTCCCACCATGCACACCTTCTGCAGATACCCACCATGCCCAACTTCTTCAGATTCCCACCACGCCCACCTCCTTCAGATCCCCACCATGCCCACTTTTCATACATTCCCACGATGCCCAAATCCCACCATGACCACCTTCTTTAAATTCTCACCATGCCCACTTTTCATACATTCCCACGATGCCCAAATCTCACCATGCCCACCTTCTTTTGATTCCCACCATGCCCACTTTTCATAAATTCCCACGATGCCCAATTCCCACCATGCCCACCTTCTTTAGATTCTCACCATGCCCATCTTTCAGGCATTCCCACTATGCCCAATTCACACGATGCCCGATTCCCACCATGCCCACCTAGATCATGGTGAGAATCCAAAGAAGGTGGGCATGGTGGGAATTGGGCATCGTGGGAATGCATGAACAGTGGGCATAGTGGGAATCTGAACAAGGTAGGCATGGTGGGAATTGGGCATCGTGTGAATGTATGAAAAGTGGGCATAGTGGGAATCTTGTGTTTTCTGAATTTTTCTCTTGACCTGGCAACGTTGCGCTCTTCGGCAATCTTCGTAATCGTCGACATGAAGATGGGCATCGTAGGAATTGGGCATCGTGGGAATTGGGCATCGTGGGAATTGGGCATCGCGCTACGCACCCTACTAAATAACCACAGTATGTAACATTTCGAAATTTGTATACCGATTCAGTCACATAGCAGACTGAATTTTGCCATCACGAAAAGCTATACAGGGTGGACGAAAAAATAATCTATGCATATTTCCAACATTGGCACCCTGTATCTCAAAAGTTAGGACGTTTACAACACACGTTCATAATATGAAGTTTTGTTCTTGAAATGGGTCGAAGAATCGGCCCCTTGAATATTAGCATATTATTAAGGAACACCCTGTATATCAGGGTGAGTCATTGAAATGGGAAAGTGAGATAACGGCTTCGCTGTCTGAGATAGATGAATAATAGTTATTTGTTTAACTAGGCAGCAAAGTAGTAGATTGACTGCCGAGGCTGTCAATCTACTTTGCTGCCAAGTTGAACATATGATTTTTTCTCTGATTGTTTATAATGATATAGGACGATATGGTATTTGCAAATTATTACAATTCCCACAATTAATTTTCACAATCAGCAAAGTAACCACTTTGCTGTCTAGGCAGCAAAGTACTCACTTTGCTGCCTAGGCAGGAAAAGTTATACTTTGCTGATTGATATGTGTCAGCAAAATTAATATTTGCTGACAATCGGAGAAAAAAATGTTTCTCTCCAAATGACATTAGAGCTAGTTTTTCAATGACACTTGAGAGGCAGAAAAGTTTGTTGCTATACGACGTTCCAAGTAATTTGAATCAAATTGGCAATCAAAATTGACAATGACTTTGGGTGACCAAAAAATGATGGATTATTTGGACTTTTCGTGAAATTGAAAAGAGTTTGGAGAAAAAATGATATGTTTCACATGGCAGAAAAGAAGAGGTAATGCCTTGACTGGCTCACTATATAGCCTCGGCTACGCCTAGGCTATGAAACGCCAGCCGCGGCATCAAATCTTGTACTTTTCTGCCTAGTAAAACAAATAACTATTGTGCTGGGCTAGGCCTAGGCTCATGAGCAGCATATTACTAAATTACTTTGCGTATACAGGGTGACTCAAATATGAGTGGAGTATCAAAGTTATACTTTTTATCATAGGACACCCTGTATTTTATTGCATTATCGGATTTTCCTCTGTGTGCTGATTCCATCAATGCATCACACTCGGGATCTAGCGGGAATGATGACAGAGATATAGGGTGTTCAAAATCGAGATTTTTCAACTTTAGGATTGTTTTGTGTCGAAACTATAAATTATTGGTCAGAACGGCTCACATGTCCCAGTGTTAATTTTTTATTCACTATCTTCTGATATTCAGTTCAGACGAATACAGGGTGGTTCAAAATTCAGAATTATGAACCACCCTGTATTCGTCTCAAGACACGGTATAAACGTGGCCATTCACGAAATCGACTATAATTTGATATCTTCATTTTTGGATGATTCAGATTTCTGATGTAATGATATCGAGAAAGCAGAACAAAATGAACTATTCTCGAATTCATCATCCGAGTCCCTTACTGTCCTCTTTGACGAAAACAAATAGTGGTAATATTACTTGAAGCCTATAAATTGTTGCGGTAGAATATAAAATGAAGTAGGTAAATGTATGAATAATTGAAACATTTTTGTTCTGTGGTTTTTCTTATCATATTCATACCAAAGGAAATTACTGAATATTATCTTCAACTGATTAACATATGCAAATTCAAAATTTTTCTTTTGATTTAATTCACACATAAATACGATAGAACGGTTCAGTTGCATTGAAAGCAATCCAAAGCATCTAGATTCGTTCATCTAGCATAATTGACAACACTAGTGACACTTGCGTCAAATTATCTATTGAGTTCCAAAATGCTGAATGCAAACTATCGTTCTACAGTGGTGAAAAAATCAACGTTTTAGTTTACTAAGATAACAACGAGAAAAATAATCAGATTCAGAATTCAACTGCGATGATGGAAAGCAAATTTCATATATATATTGCGTGAAAATTACGTGAAAATAGTTTCAACCTCGATGTCGTTCAAAGTTGTTGAGTACGGAAAGCATGGATACTTTCGGATAGTTCATATATAAGGGTACGTTTGTATAGTTTCCAGTTTTCATTTTGTATCATAGAAATTAATTTCAGGTACAGTCTTTTCTAACTCAGTTTGAGTGCCTCCAGAAGAAAATTCCCGCCACGTGTAGTCAGTGCGTTTTTTTAAACTTGGGACAAACGTCAGGGTGCGGCGTATGTTTTTCAATGAAGCTGCTCCAATTGACTCTGGAAATACTATATCAGTTCATGTTTTCAGTCTCAATTGATCTGTTCCTCCAGACAAGATAGGATTTATTACTTTATGAACTCTTAGATGTTTCCGTACTCAACAATTTTTCTCAAAGATGCTGCCATGAATTTACCATCTGCCGTTGAATTTGGAATCGCTCGAGCTTTGAATGAAAATATCTCGGAAAATAAGTACCATAATTTCGAAATGATCGCCTCATAAAAATTCGTTTGGTTTTATTTTCAGAGGACACCCACAGTTGTTCCTGCTCACCCTTTCGATCCTAGAGCAGATGCCGAGATCCTCAGGAAGGCCATGAAAGGTTTCGGAACTGATGAGAAAGCCATCATCAATATTCTTGCCAGAAGGACCAATGAACAGAGATTGCATATTGCCGTACAGTTCAAAACCCTATATGGAAAGGTAGGTTCCAAAACCATATGAATTTTGATTTATTTTCATCTTTCGGGGCGCATGAATGAGAATCCTTGGTATGAACAGGGAGCATCATCATCAGGGAGTATAGAGAGCTAACGTGTAGGTATTAGATTTTTTCTGAACTTTCAGCGGTTATAAGTTCTTGCAAATACTTCCTTTGGCAAAGCATTCCAAAGCTTTTCCATTTTATAGACAGACGAGTTCTGGTAGAGAGTTGTTCGGAATATCCCGAGGTTGACGGCGGAGGGATGTGCTGACTAGGCTTGTCGAGTTCGTCTGGTTGGTATTTCTAGTGATGAGTAGTGATGGAATGATGTTGAAGAACATTGCTCGTCAAAGTATATTCAGAAGACTGAATGGTGTTCCAATGAGTAATTAGTGAGTGTGGCATCACCAACCCGGAGAATATCTCGTCGATGAATTTAACAGCATCAGCGTATGTTTATGTGGGACCAGTGCTCTGTAGATCTTGAAAATTAGTGGAGGACCTGATGTCAGGAAAAAACGGGCGATCTGCACAAGTTTCGAATATCACTCATATCCCAGACAGCACAGAATATTCTATGAATGTTCTCACAACGTCTTCAGAGTATTCCGAAAAACGTTCATAGAATATGATGAGGATGTTATATGAATGTTCATAGAATGTTTTACGAGAATATTCCATTATGTTATACGAATGTTATTCAGCAATGACCATAGAATCTGTTGTTCGAATATTCTAGGCATGTTTTCCAGGTACGCAGGTACCTATGTACATATAATATATTATATTATCTAGGAACTCAGAGAAACAGAAGTTTTTTTGTTTCCTATAAACATTTGCATACCCTAACATGCTTCGTGTTCGAGATTCAGGGAGTCAAAGTTATCAGAAAAAATCAATTTTTCATTGATTATTCAAAATCCTTCTCGCTGATTTTGATCAAACCTAGCAATGAAGTTTAGTGAATTCAAATTTACTCGGAATATTGAATGTACAATTCTGAACCCTCAAATATTCACCATGCGCTTCAAAACACCCTTTATACTGAGAATATTCCTAGATAATTCTGAGGATGTTCTTCATATTCTTAGAATGTCCTGAGAATGTTCTGAAAAATACTATGAGAATGAAAACGTTATTGGAACGTGAGTTGTTGGTCCATTCGCATGTTCTTAGAATATTCTCAGAACTTTCAGTGCACCTTCAGAGAACGTTCTGAGAATATTCGAAGTAACCACGAGAATATTTTGAGAACATTTCAGAATCACTGTTTGCTGTCTGGGATGCGAGAACAACTCCTTCTATTAAGAAGTTCAAGTTTCTGCCACCGTAAATCAGTTTTTATTGTGTGAATAAACAATCATGAATATTGCAAAATAGCGAATCTATTCTCGATCAAGTCGCGATCGAATTCGACTTAGGAAATCGTCGGTTTTTTGGCGAAATGGGATGAGATGAGATGAACATAAAAATGTAACTATGATTGTTCGAGATGGTATTTTAGGAGCTTTAGATCTACAAATAAATTTGGATCATTTTTATTTACCTTAAAAAAAATTATTGAGCTATATTTAGATTGAACAAAAGGTTGGTTCGTCTTGATACAAAGATTGACACCCCAAATAAATGTAGATAATTTTTCTCTACGTGAGAAGAAATTATTGAGCTATTCAGATTGAACAAAGGGTTGGTTCGTCTTGATACAATGATTGACACCCCAATTAGTTGATAGGTCAAAGTATGGAGGGAACTACTACATAATCTAAAATATGTTGTGCATCAAGGTTTTATGCGTTAGCTTTCGTCATTTTATGAACTACTAGTCGATAAAGATTAAGCCACCTCCGAGGCCACCTCTGTCATAATCAACCCGAATCCACTGTTCTGATTCGAGATTCGAAGGAAATGGCATTCTAGCAGGACGTATTTATCAATAACGATATTATTATGCTGTCATGGTCACGGCTACTGGATTTTCATTAGAATCTAAAAGAATTGCTCTCATAGTATGACAATAGGTCCGTATTTCAGTTTCACATAATTATAATGATTGAAATATATCGTGGCTGAAGCCTCTAAATATAATCTTTATTGAAGCCAGACAATGTCTGCTATTTCCAGATAAAATTTGACATCTGGCAACTATGAGTCGTGACGACATCAGTAGTTGTGAGTTGTGAGTGACATATTTTAATAGTTTGAATAAGGCTGTAACTATATTTTTGTTTTCGACACCTTCAAACTATTCATACAAAACTAATCGATTAGGTAAAGCATTAGTGTGAAAACCATGCCGATTGTCAAGAAATCTCTATAATTGTCAGGAAAAACCATGGAAATTGTGGATGAGTCAGTTTCATCATTATTTTCATATCGACATTACATAGGGTTTATAAATCATTGCCTAGCTCACTTTTATGGTTTTGATAAGAATCCTATTGCATCGATATCTTGGATTAAAAAAATATTGATTATGAGAATAAGCCCCAAATTTCTGATATGAAGCATAAAAGAATGAAATTTGTTTGATTATTATTGAAAGCAGACTTGCTCAACTTGTTGGGAAATAGGCTGATTCATTCATGATGAGTTTTTGTTGTATTAGAAGGGGTCGATTTTTCATAAAATCAGATCACAGGAAAACTTACTTTAAAATATTATTTATTTTGCTGTTACCATAACCTAATTTGAGGAACTTCGACTTAATTCTAAGTGGGTACTTGATAATGATTTCAATAATGATAATTATGACAATAATGGAAATAATATAAAGTGCTCAAAGAATTAAGTGGAACATGCACTCGAATTTTCGACGTTTTTTAAAATGCGATAACTTTTTTGCAAATCAATCGATTTCCAATCAGAATGCAGTGTTCAAAAGATGGGTTCATTCTGTTTATGATTCATGGTTCGACACTTCTCGAAGTTTTCCGATCATGACATATACGGAGTGGTCAAAAAGAGTGTTACATAAGCGAAAAAGTTCAAGAGCTCTCGTAATCCCCAGGAATATTTCCATTCTTCTGCAAATCAGTTGTTGTCACGAGCTTGGCAGATCTTTCATGATAGGATGGTATATTGAATGATGAAATGATTGAAGGCGGATTCATACAACATTCATTATAATTACATTTCCACTACATTATTATTACATTTTCACTAGCCGCGAGGTACCCATTTATGCAACTTATGGTTCATAATGAACTAATTATTCGAGGTTATGTGATTTAGTTGGATTTCCCAAATTTTTACAGGATATTTAAGAACATGGATTTATTATGAATATAATATCTGAGGTGAATCACAAATAGTTTTGTGGAAAAAGTGATCATTCAATGATCTAAACTTGCAAATCAGTCGTTTTCACTAGAACTATAATGATAATGAATAGTTAAAAGTTGGTCAACTTCTTAGTACACTAATGTGATGAAAATGTAATGAAAATGTGTTGATGTGTTCCATGAACGCATTCTATGGAAAAGGAGTTTTCAACATTCTTGATTTATAATGTAATGAGAATGTAATTATAATGACTTTTGCATGAATCGGCCTTGAAATGTTATCACTTGCTTAGAATCGTCTCTTCACGGGCACTTTTCCCAAGTGATGGAGGAAACTTGCACTATAGAGATTTCTCAATTTCATACCAACGTAGGAATATCTGGATATCACTTTTTCTGCAATATTTCATGTGAAGTACTGAATTGCCTCAAGAAAATCATGAAATTGTTTCAAGATGTTGACTGGAGCAATATCCATCTGAATGAAGGATTCATGATTCCAAAAGCACATTATTGTAGCAGCATCAATATGGGCAGATGATTTCACAAAATCTCACAAATTATTCGAAAAACGTTCATTTTTTTATTTGTCGAAAGTTCTGCCATTAAAACTGTTTTAATCTTCTCCTGAAGATGCTAACATAGTTAGTGAAGCACGTGTCGAGGCGTTAAAAAAATCGGTTTGGTTAGTGGTGAAACAGTGTAGTGTATTATCGTGCCAAAGGTTCCAGTCTTCGATATATACATATATATGTTGTGTCAATCAACAAACTAATTTGAATTCCAACCTAGACCCTCCAAGTTTTCATTGAAATAGTAATTTTAATAGAAATTCCCAATTTTTTCCATGTATTCTCTTCCTGAACGGGGGTGCATTCAATGACCCTCGCATCCTACTGCCGGCGCTCATGGTTATATCTTTCCTTGAATAAGTTTCTTTTTATAGGACTTGATCAAAGATCTCAAGAGCGAGTTGTCTGGCAATTTCGAGAACTTGGTGGTGGCTTTGATGACTCCTATGCCCGAATTCTATGCCAAAGAACTTCATGATGCTATGAGTGGAGCTGGTACGGATGAAGATGTCCTCATAGAAGTACTCTGCACCATGACGAACCAGGAAATCATGGTCATTCGACAGGCCTATCACTCATGTAAGTGTTTCTTTGTAAAATATTCATCATTGAATGGAGTTTGACTACCTTCAGGATGAGTTTGATGCGATTGCTGTAACGATATTTGAGGAAGAAAATCACTTCTTCATGACTTGCAACGTTTGTTTTTCATCAAGTAATTCTCAGAATGAAATACAATAGTAAATTGATCAGGCTTCAAAATAATCTGTTCATGATGAACAAAAACAGAATCAACCTTGATAATAACTTGTGTTACAAAATCTATCAGAGTGAAGCATGTGTTGTAGCTGAACATTACTTATGTTTGAAAAGAGCTTATATCCTTCTGTCACAAACATCAAATTATAAATCGACATGTAAACACCAGTAAGATAAGACGAACAATGGATAAATTCTGTAACATTTGCACAAAAACGATAGATACACAACACACTCACTACAATGTTTATTTGCTCATCAGTATCAACGCCAACGCCACCTGATGAATTCAACTGAACTGATAAGATAAGGAAAGGTATATAGGTACAGACTAGATCAATAGTGGTGCTCTGGTTTGTATGTCTTCTCATTAGAAAAATTTGATGTCTTGATAATTGATATTTGATTTTTGAAACGATATCAGAGTAGGTCTTTCAATATCATTAACAATTCGGTAAACTACTCGAGCCAACAATCGAAATCCATTGACTCGAATATCACGCTGATCATTCCACTCTAAGAACAGCTAGACTTTTTGATGTTTTTGTTTTTGTATCTCGTGTATGCTGTATTTTCGATTTTGTATTTCGCTTCCTCGTTAGTAGTTAAGGCCCGTATTTATAGTCGCTCCTTAAGGTGACCTCGTCCATTGAGGCATCCTTAAGGGCCAGTTTCCTAATTTTAGTCGTAATATGTGCTCGAAGAAATCCTCAAGGAAATGTCAATCTCAAGGAAGGCGAAGAGGTACCTTGAGCATTTAGCGAATATTCCTTGATCCAATAACTAGTATTTTTTCAATTTATGTTATGTATATGTACAGTTGTCTTCAGAGATCATGTCGCGGTTGGATGGAGTCAGCGTCATATTATGCAGGAGTTATTAAGAATGCTATCATCGTCATAAACACAAATATGGATCTGAATTTCACGAGTTTGGATAGTGCTTGATCTGGAACGCTTTTGTGGATTTTATGAATGGAATGATGAATGTAGTAATCAAATAATGAACGTTCAAGTCTTGAAATTTGTAAAGGATTCGAGTATATCAATTCCCAGAAGAAGCTGATAGATAGAGTTTCAAGTTAAGTTGGGAAGTAAATCTTTTTTATTTCAAATAATAGATAGACCGTATCCTATCTCAGTGATACATTATGAATTCACGAGGGCTATCACCTGTCAAGCGTTGTCGGTCGAATTTCGCAACATCCTGTATATACTACAAATAAAGGGAAATCAGTATATTTACAATTATAAACCTATAGGTATCATCTTGATAATTCGTTCAGGAAATTGAAATACATAGGTACATTTTCAATGAACAAGTACACAAAATCACAGATTCATTCAAGTATTCAATCGAATTGATTATTCTTTCTCTTCATGGAATATAATTTCATAGCAGCTTGAAATAATTCGTTTTTGATAAAGTACCTAATAATATGTATATACCTATATATCAATTTTTTTATGTTCATAATTATATCTGAGAATATTCCTTTTTAACTCGTTTTATTGATACCTACATAAAAGATAGCAGAACACCGTATTATCAGATCTCCCAGTGCTTCACAGAATGATATGTCTTCTGTTAATATATAGGTAGATAGATATCTTATATTAGCTGATGCTGACCTGCTTATTGGTCAGTTTATTTCTTCGATTGCTGTATTATATTATAGCTATTTCAAAAATAACAACTTCTATCTGTAGATTGTTTTCCATTTTCGACCCAATACTGTTTCATTGTTGAAAACAGTTGAACCACGTTCATGTCTCTAGATTTTTTAGGTCTTTCATCTCCTTGTCTTTTCTCAATAAAGTGCGTCCCAAAATTAAGTAGAAAGATTTCAACCTGATTTTAGGAACGAAAAGAGTAAAAAAAATCATATTTATATGGATCCAGAAATCGCCCCCTGGGGGGCAAAGGAGAGCCACAAGTGATGGTTTTATTTTATTCTTCCATCGCTTGGAGCGCACGAAAGAGAATCTCTTTAATGTTCGAGAAAGATCGTGCCTACCTAGGAAATATATTTTCTAAACCCTTTGTGATGAAATACCCGAATTGCAATTCTTGGCCGTTTGACGAGTACTCAAAAATCGAATCGTAAGTAATCTCTCACCTAAAATATGCAATAATTCAATAACAGTTTGTTATTTGAGGAACAGGTGACATAATAATATACAGGGTGTCCCACGATGATGAAGACAGGAAATTTCTCGGAACTCGGAGTATAGTAGGGGTTGTGAATTTGAGCAATAATTGGTGCAGTTTATCTGAATATTTCTTCACCAAATGAGCTTTTCATTTTCTACCACTTGGCATCAGATTAAACATTTTAAATGGGACAACCTGTATACTCATCATGTATATATTCCTACCGATGAAACGACTCCAACAAACTATCACATTTGTAGTCTAAAGCGTTCAATTCAAAGACTACAGGAACTCAATATTGCTTTCCACGACAATTACGACGAACGTCTGAAACGATGAGCAATTGTCAAATTATTTGAGGGTCACCCTGTATATTTGGCCAGCACTATTTTGTTTTTGGTGATTGAAACAATAATCATCCATATTTCATGGAGAAACGTAGTCAAAAAACTTTAGGACAAAGGATATTTGAACTACCTGCGAAGTCCTTAAATTAATCGTATTAATCGACAAGTGGGATATTAGTTCATCGGTATGAATAAAGACATTATAAATATAAAGGTTGTCCCATTTGGAGTTTTATATCTGATATGTCACGTGTCCGAAAAGAAAAAGCTCGTTGATAAAAAAAATATAAGAGAAAGCTGCACGAATTGTTTCAATTCACAACTTCAAAACTACAATTATCTACTACTATCTAGTGTTCCGAGATATTAACTGTTTGATCGTCGTGGGACACCCTGTAACCAACTATAATTGAAATATTGAATATTGTGGGTGACAGATTACTTGCGATTCAATTCGAAATACAAGTGTTTGAAAAAATCGCTATAATTTAAAGACCAATACACCTAATAATAAATTCTGAAAAAACATATTCTTGAGCACAATTTGAACTATATATCCTCTGACATGATGGGCGTTATTTTACAATTCGCTGTTAGACTAAGAGGTGAAGTTCAATTTCTTGTAAAAACAACTTTAGATGAATCACTCGGTATATTATCTTTGGTCATGATTAAGTACAAATGTATTGCCCTAGAATATGGCCCAATATAATGTATAATCAAGACAAAAAAAAAATCACCCAGATCGCTTGTAGCGATCAGAAATTATTTACTATCAATTATTACTACAATTTTGTGTGAGTCATTTCAAGTTTCCATGAGTAGTTAGTAACACTTCTAATGAGTTCTTCCCTTAAAGTATTGTTTCTATAGTGTATAACAGAAATGTTAAGCGATATCGGTACCTACCTACCAAATAATTTGAATAGAAATTGGGAAATCTGCACATAGGTTCATTGGAGTCATCACGAGTCAAAATAAGTACCTCATAGAAGATAAACACAACGTATGAGGTTCTGAATATACCATAATCATTGGATCTAACCTCGGATCTAACAGTCTTTGGCCAACTAAGATCAACCCAGTAACACTACTAATGAGTTATCTCTTCAAAGTTCAAAGTGGAGTGTCAGTTTACTCAGAACCGTGTATTGTTTCTAGTGTATTACAGAAACCTGGAGAGCGACTTGAAAGGTGACACAGGCGGCACCTTCAAACGCCTCATGGTCTCTCTCTGTAACGCTTGCCGAGACGAAAGCATGTCCACCAATCAGCAAAAAGCTCTATCTGACGCGCAGGCGCTCTTGAGAGCCGGAGAGCTACGCTTCGGCACCGATGAATCCACCTTCAACATGATCCTTTGCCAGCGCAACTACGCGCAGCTGCAGCTGATCTTCAAGGAGTACGAACGTATCACTGGACACGATATCGAGAAGGCCATCAAGAATGAGTTTTCCGGGGATTGCGAGGAAGCTTTCTTGGCGGTCGTGCGGTCCATCAAGAATCAGTCGCTCTTTTTCGCGAAGAGGTTGAATAAGAGCATGAAAGGACTGGGAACGAATGATAGGCAGCTGATAAGGCTGGTGACGAGTAGATGCGAGATTGATATGGAGGATATTAAGAGAGAGTATCAAGCTAAATATGGGGAGTCTCTGGCTGATGCGATTAAGGTACGTGATCTGGAAGTTGATTCATTGAAAGTGTTCCCAAATTGACGTAAGGGTTGCTTAGTATGCATTCATATTTTTATTTTGTTCCAGGGGGATTGCTCAGGACATTACAAGAAGTGCTTGTTAGCCCTCATCGGAGAGAGCGCCTGATTCACGTAGTTTTTATCATATTTACATGATTTGTGTCATATAAAACCTGTTCGTTTCTTCAAAATATGTGTTTTTTGTATCGTATTTTTATATAAACTATTCCCTTCATAAAAGTTATCTACTTGTTAAGATGTTCCATTTCTGGAAATATTGTGATATAGTTAATCTCAATAAAGAGTTTTAGCTTCCATATTGAGTGACTTTTATTATTTTGCTGATTTCAATTGAAATGGTGAACTCTGGATAATTGATTACTACTACTACTGATGGCTTCGTGACTTTCCGGCATCAAATGACGGCATTTGCTTGTCAATTCTATTTGTTATAAATGATTCACTAGAAAAAAATCAGTAATTGGAATTATGTTCAGTATTAAAAGTTAAAAGATGCCTGAGATATTGGGAATCACCAAATCAATTTCCTTTGCCGAAGTTTGGCTATTTCAACAAGTGTATCGAGAGTTTAGTGATTTCATCGTTATCGTGGAGGTTTTCATAAGATTTAGGAGTAGCAAACGATTTTTGGAATGGCAAAACATTATAGATATACACTTTGGTGATCCACATTCATCAAGAGAGCAAATCAGGTGATTTGATACTTTTATCGATAACGAACATGTCAGCAATTTAGCAGACGATGAAATCAGAAACATATCTGAAATAGTGAAAATGGCGGCTGAAAATTCTCAATTTGCTCCAAAATGTCACTACGCTAGAAATTTCACTGTCTGAAACTAAAAAAAAATCTCAACCGATTGTCAGAGACACTTTGTTTGAAATATGTTCAGAGAAGAAGAATATAGGTTAGGTATATTGCAAAATATCAAAATTTACTTATCTTTGTTCGTTTCGGAAACGAATCTTCTTGAATTTTCAGAATGAAAATGAAATAAGAAAGATATTCTTTGCTAGTGAGAATAAGTGAGATCGAAACTGGTAGATTACTCCTCCGTTTTGTTTAGTTTGGATTATTCCTAGGATATATTTCTCTCTCTTGATGTGTGAATTGCCCGTGAAGTTCCACATTGGAATCAGAAATAGCTTAGTAAAACGGTAACGATAAAACATCCTCCCGTGGAAAAAAATCGAGTTATCGGTTTCTCTGCGGTTTTATATGTTTTTGGGGCTGCTGCATCTGAAGTTTGCGAACAACATTTCCTGGAGCATTCCGATATATTCGCAAAAAACAGCACATCCTCGCACTTTCTTCAAATAAAGGAAGGAATGCTCGAAGTCATTTCCACAAGTTTTAATGATGCTGTTACATAATCATAAGGGGCATGTTTTGATCTCATAGAATATCATCTCCAGCCTAATTGAAAGTTCTACGATACAAAAACAAAATAAAAGTTGAAGTGAAAGAATTACTGAATTTGTGCTTGACTTACTTGGAGTTGAAAAACATTTTTTGATGCTACACTGTTTCTTGAATTGTTGTCGATGCCCATAGTGAAGAATTCAAATACTTAATGAAAAAACGGGTTCTCAATAAATGAAGGGCCCCGTACCCTGAGAGCGCATACTATTATTTTCATTGAAAATTCCATATACCAGAATGGTATATAAAGGGTATAGCCAAAATGTTTGTTTTTGACAACTCAATAGATAGATAATAACTGAGATCCTCATGGTGGATCTCGAAAAACGGGCAGCCTGTATATCCTCCGATGATAGGTGACAGTAGAGATCCAAATAAAATTTGCTTATATGCTCATTAAGGCGCCGTCCTGCGTTCTGGCACTAAATGGTGTTGATTTTTTACGCCGTACGGCGTCTTGTCACGTACCTAGGAAAAAAAGGTTACGCCGTATTGTGTCGATGCCACCCCAAGTAACATTTTAAATGCCTGATAGCTTCGATGAGACTTTGAAGAGGTTATGTGAGCGCAAATGATAGGTCTTATTTGTTCTACCGTTTTATGAATGCCCTGGAAAAAACAAATTGGCCTTCATGTCCATATAATCCTATTAAATGGTGTTGAGATACTATTATAGAACTATCGGATGTAACAATTTGGCATTCAGCTCACTTCGGTTTTAAGAGAGCTCTGTGGAAGTCATTGAAATTCTTTATCGAAACTATTTACTCTTAACAACCCTCTTAAAACACTTGAGTTTCATTAGTGTCTCAAATTTGCCCAAGAGGTTTTGAACTAATCCTATGAAAATACCCCATAAAGCAAACATAAAACCAAATTTACGCTAGGCAAATTATATAGGATTTGACTGGGGCAATAATGAAACCTATATAATGTCATTATTCTAGCTATGTGAAAATGATTATTGAAACCTATAAGCCACAATGAATTCATCGAAGTCAATTATAAAATCATTAGGATTTTTGAATTTTTTATTAGAACTGTGTTAAACCCAAATTCCATAATATAAATGTTCGTATTTTTTTTGCCTATATTCAACGACTCACATAGAAATGAACTCACAAGAAAATTAATGGTGGTGTAGAATTAAAATAAATGGCAACTTTAAGCGAAAAAATTCAGAAAATTACTTGAGAATCAAAACTAAAGTCGTGAGAACAACAGTTAATCGGAATTCTCGAGCCCAAGCAATTCCAAACACTGCGTCTTTCAATTCATCCCTACCGAAACCACCAAATAGCCAGAATTCATCAGGACCTGATGTTCATGAAGTACCATCAACGAGAACGTAATGGAAAATACTTCTGATATATCTGAATGGAAACAAGGAAGCGAGGACGATGACAACAGCTTTGCACACATTATGTCAGATGGCTAGTTTCGCAAAAATTTAAGAGAATGGAGCATTCAACACAATATCAGGCAAGCTGCACTGGGTGTAGTTTGTCTATGTTTCCTACCCGGTTTCCTACTTAAAACCAATCACAAAATTCACAAACTGAACACTGTAAAAACAAAAGTAGGATTATGTTGATCATGTTGATGACGTTCTTCTACTTTTCGCCACACTGCCCAATGAGTACTAGCCGCAGGATATTCTTAAAGCTTCATAGTTTTATGAGGGCATTATCTTATATCCTTCTTGCATCAATCTTATCATTTTCGAAGATTTGCTGTCATAACCAGGAACAAATAGTCATAATATGGAATGGATTCGAATATGCAAAAAGTATACTTCAACAGGAGGAAATCGTCTCATGAAATGCCTTATCATTACCTAAAGGTTTCAAGTAAGCATTAGGAGAAAAATTGATTTTAAGTATATTTTGCGTCATATTTACTACAAACAGATGTCGACCATTGATGGAAATGAAAATTTCAAGCGGAATATAAAAAAGATTCATTGATACTGCCGTCGAAAATGTTGTTTTTCCACATTTTCCAAACGACTCATCCATATTCAGCAAACATTCATACAGTTTTGTCAACTTTTTTGAATAGTTATTCAACTTCACATCCAATTCTAACGGGTGAAAACACATTATTTCTAGGGCGCTGCTTTATTAGAAGCATATCTGGTATGTTTTTGTCAAGAAAGTTGTCATTGTTTTCATTTCACAGCCTCAATCTTCAGAAAAAAAATTTGATACAGTAGGTAATTATCATATCATACCGCCATGTTTACTCTATTTTATAACTATTTATTATTTTTACTACATGTTGACATGTTCGTATTATAATTTGTTCTGAAAAAAGACTCGATACACATCACGGACTTTTCTTAACAAACAACTGATAATAGGGTTTCAATTCTAGCCAATATGTGTTGTCGATTTGAAGCATATAGGTTTGAAATCGTGCCAAAAGTCTTTAAAGGAAGCAGTTTTGATAGGTTGTATTATTTTTTAGTTTTATAACAAGCTGTAAGAGAAGCTGTGACAGGTTCCATAAAGGTTGGCCCTTTATGCTTTGAGAAGGTTGTTTTATTGTTTCAATGATATTATTCAAAGTATAATAGTTTTGAAGAAGCATTTTAAAATTGGCTGTACCAACCTCCAGTAGCTAACAATGAAACTGATAATGTTATTTGGGACTGTAGGTGTAAAATTTGTTTGTCTTCTATTCTCTCATTTTCCCAGTGTACTTCCGGCCGCTGGAAGAAGACCTGCGCGGCGACACCTCGGGCACCTTCAAGCGCCTGATGGTGTCCCTGTGCACGGCCAACCGCGACGAGAGCATGCAGACGGACCCCGGCGCCGCGCAGAGGGACGCGCAGGCGCTGTTGGCCGCCGGCGAGCTGCGCCTCGGCACCGACGAGTCCGAGTTCAACGCCGTCCTGTGCTCGCGCAACTACGCGCAGCTGCAGCTGATCTTCCAGGAGTACGAGAGAATCGCAGGTGAGGACCATACCAAAGATCACCATATCACAGTTAAGAGAATACATATACAGTTCTCAACACACTAAATGGACCACTCATAATTTGACTATATTTCGAAGTCCTGTATTTTTTTTCAAAATTGAAAGATCTTCATGCCGTTTTCGACATCAGATGTGATGTTTCATCGGCTTCAAAGAGAGCCAGAACAATCTGGAAAAGTCCGCAGAACAAAACTTACCCAGGGTGTAAAATATGGTCTACCAGAACTCGAGAAATTTTTTTATGATCAAAAGTCACTTATATTTGTGATACACTGGGACCTCATCTCGGGACGTTTTCCTGATTTCTCCTTGATTGGCCATTGAAACAAAGATTAAATCGTTTCTTCGAAAGTCTTGCATTTCTTGAATTTTTTCTCTAGAGCTCTACTTGAGCTGACTATCGGGAAGAACTGTCCTCATGTTTTGTGCAGGACAATGAAAGACGATATAAGCACTATTGTGGAATATATAGGTTGATAGGATAATAGGACAAAATATCATTTCAGTAAAGATAATAAAAAATGGTGACTAAAACCATGGCCCATTCGATTCAGTATATTCAGAAACGGCCTTCTCGATATCCTTTATCTATATTGGACTATCAACTCGAGACGTTTTCGAAAATTCGCCTCTAATTGAAATACAAGATGACAATTTTCAATTCAAACTTGTTTCCTGATATCGATGATTCTTATCTGATTTCCAATATTTATTGCCCAGCTATAACGACATGTCCATTCAATATTTCTTCATATCTCTCACAAAAGAGTTAAGGGGGGGTTCCATTTTAAGAGGCGCACCCTGTACACATCAGGACATCCTGTGGATGACCATAGGATATCAGATTTCCACATTTTAGAACATACATGTGGAATCCATGATGGACATCCATTTGGTGTCCATTATGAATATCCATATGGTGTCCATATATTGGACATTTATACCAACCTTTACATATTCAAAAGACAGGTAAGGTTATTTTTTTATTATTTCAAACATAGTTCATAGGTGAATCCTAGAACCTATGAAATATTAGGTAAGCTGGAGAAAGTTGAAGGAAACACATTCAAATTGAAATGAGAAAATGATGGAATCAAAAATAATAGGTTAAAGCGTCAGTGAGCTTGCTGACTCCATATAGCTATATGTCTTAGAAGAAACTGTTTAATCACATATTCGAATTTTTTGAATTCCAGTATCTTGATGGAGCTGTGGAGAATATTATAAATAATGAGATTCAAAGAGTTTCTACAGCTAACAGCTAATCAATGTCGTGGGATTCTCAATGAATTAGCCGATCTTGTTCACCGAATTTACTCACATTTTGGTGTATTTCTAGCAAAACTGTTAAAATGTATGAGATAGGCATTGGCATGACACCAAGTTTGATGAAATGTTGATGGCAGTTATCTCTATAGCCTTAGTTAGCCAATATTCGTATAGTTTTCTTCTGACATCTGAAAACTGATATAGCCTTTGTTGAATTGCCCCAGAGTAAAATACCGTATGACAGTAAAGAATGAATTAACAAAAAATATGACATTCTCAAGATGCCGAGATCAGTTATACATTCCAATTGTCTTTTTACTCAATTATTACTGTATTATAATTGAGTAAAAAATATATTTTCAGATGAAGATGCATACATAATAATCTGAAAATATATATAGTACACCAAACAGAGGTCGAAAGGATAGGGGTGTAAGGAAGAAACTGAGAAAAAATGTCAGATAATTAATTTTTTTTTAGGTCATGATATTGAGGAGACCATCAAACGTGAATTCTCGGGCAACTCAGAATCTGGCTTCCTTGCAATCGTGAGGGCCATCAAAAATCAAGCGGCCTTTTTCGCCAAGGAGATCCATAGCAGCCTCAGCGGCGCTGGAACAGAAGACAGTCGATTGATCCGTTTGGTGGTCACCAGATGCGAAGTCGATATGGAGGATATCAAGAGAGCCTACGAATCGAAATATGGCGAGTCTCTGAAAGACGCATTCAAGGTTTGTATACAATTTTTTTAAAGAGTTTTCAACCTCATTCGCTTTCATGAATTTTTGAGCTTGAAATATATTGAATAGAGGCGAACATGTGAGAACTTCATTTTAGTGGTCCTCAGGTCCCTAAAAATGGTCCTGTTTGAGACGTAGTAAGGTGCGTCTGAGGCCCACCTTAGGGCTAAGTTTTCCTACGCTTGTATCTTGTTTCTGTTCGTTTTACAAGTTTGTCCCCATGCCAGTGAGGCGTATTAGTGACAATTTGTTCTTCAGAGACATTTTGCTTCTTCTTCCTATATGGGGGAATAATTCATGTTCAGCTACTCTGACTTTACTTACCGTTTGTGCACAGAAAATTTTTTTTGTTTGAAACTACAAAATTTTTGTAAATTCAACAAAATCTGAGTGTCATATATCCACGACAAAATATTTTGTCACCGCAACAAATATTTTTTGTCAGTTTTCAATTCAAAATTAATTTGATGTAACTCATTAATGATTCAAATTAACAGCAGGAATTGGTTGAATGAACAAAGACTATTTTGTTCCTATCATACAATATCGGCTCTCATGAACGATTCAGTTGATTGAAATGATTATATCATTTCATTCAAGTGACAAAATTTTCAGTTTTTCAGAGAGTGAATATGTTGAAATAACAATATATATAGGTATTCTTCGATCAAGCAAATTGTATTTTGAAATGACAAAATATTTTGCTGAATAATATTTAAAAAATCCAATCACTGAATTTTAGAACTAAGAGAAATTAGAGATCAATTTCCTCAGTTGATTCAAGACTAGCTTGTATAAGCGTCATAAGAAATCCTAGGACAGTCAAATATAACCATATATATGGATGTTTTAGGTAGGTATATATGTACACCCCAATCGAGGCAAGTGTAGGAAGGTTGGAAGAAACGCCACCTGGTGGCAAAAATGCAACTAGATAATCATTCAACAAAATATTTGTTTGATATTATGTTTTTATGGGTTCTGTTCAACAAAGTAATTTGTTTGAAATAACAACATATTTCTTGATAGTGATATGTTGAATCATTAAATTATAATGTTGTCATAATCAATTCAATTTTGTCGCATAGAAAAAAACCTCTGATTGGTTGCACAATGAAATGATTGTTGACTCAACAAAATATGATGTTGTATTCAGATAAATCTTTGTCAAAATTGATTCAATTCTGTCGAATAGACAAAATGCATATGATTGATTGAACAATGAGATAATAGTTTGATCAACAAAATTTGTTTTATGTCAACATGTTGTTGAATAAAATGAAACTTCTGTTCTAGTTAGCAAATATTTCAATCAAATTATTTTGTCTCTTTGACTAGGTTGCTTATTTGGAATGAACATATATTTTGTTGATTTCGCAAAATTGTGTTTAATTTAACCAAAAATAAATGACCAAAATTATTTTGTTGGCGCAACAAAACTTTTTTTTTCGTGTGTTCGCTGAATGTTAGCCCCTGGTCCATTAGTACTCCTAGGTATTGTGTCTTTTCTGGCCATTGTATGTTATTGTCGCCTATCTCCACATGTCCCTCTGATATTTTGCGCATTCTTCCTTTGAACAGTACTGCTTTGCTTTTGTCCGGGTTGATGGCTACATTTTATTATACACACCAGTTCTCTAGCTCCTGTTGAAGGTATCGTGTTACCAGTTCTGGTCTCTTATATCTTGCGGCTATTGCCGTGTCGTCTGCGTATAGGGATAAACAGGTGTTATCTGACTTCGGGGTGTCTGATGTGTATATGGTGAACAGCTTTGGACCTAACACTGCGCCTTGCGGGACTCCTATGCTTTCGTTGATCTGGGATAATGACTTCTCATGTCCAACTTTGACTTTGAGTTTTCTATTCCGGATGTATGAGTCAATAAGCTTCAGTATAGGTACAGGATCACCATTTTGGAATCTGAATAAATGGTCAACGGCTCATATTTATAGGAACTCGCCAATTCAGGTCGTTCTTTGTTCTCAGTAAGCACGTGTTGAAATTTTATCATGAATCATGAATTCTTTAATTTATATATATACAGGGCCCCTAATTATTTCGGGGCATCACAGTTGCAATATTAAACTAGCTACATGATTTTCGAAGACTTTTTTTTCTTTGTATTCTCGCGCCTAATGGCTATTACCCACTCAGCTAACATCATTCGCCTTCTGCTCGTACTGCAACTTTCATCTTCGTGAATATTAGCCATCATTATGCTCTCGTTGAATAATATATGTACTATTTTTCCTAATGTCAGTAATGATACAGTATACAGGGTGTTTCATAATTGAATGCCAATATTTAGGGAGGCGATTCTTGGGCCCATTCTAAGAAGAAAATGTCATATAAACGTATGACCTAAACGTCCTAACATTTGAGATACATGGTGGTAAAATTCTCAAAAATTAATAGTTTTTTATTAATATCTAGCTGTAATACCTTTTCAGATATTCTAATGAAATTTGGCATACATGTACTATATGTATCAAGAGGCATCAGTTAGTGTACCACATTTTTTGTTGTTGCCACCAGTGGCGTTCGTATGGAATTTCACATACCTATTTGACAGATATTGATGGTACGCCACTGATTAATCTTCAAATTGAAATCATTCCTGAATTTGTTGATATGACAACATCACAATGCAGAGAAATAGATTTTATTCTTAAGATCAAATTGTAGAAATACAACTCATAGTTTATGAGCTTCGTATTTGTATTTGGTACTTTGGAATTATTACTTTTCATTGTAGTAGGCTATATTAATTTTTGAGAACTTCACCACTCTGTATCTCAAAAGTTAGGAGGTTTTGGTCATATAAACGTTCATATGAAACTTTCTTCTTAGAATGGGTCCAAGAATTGCATCCTCGAATATTGACATTCAATTATGAAACACCCTATATTTTTTAAGGATTAATAATAGTAGAACAGGCGTATTTTATAATTCACTTTTTATTTTCAGGATGATTGCTCGGGAGACTATAAGAAATGTTTATTAGCTCTGATTGGAGAGTACTGAAAACTTGAAGAAAACCAATGGAGGATTATTGACATGGTGAACCCCTCTGTATAGGAATCTATTGATCATTCCACATTTCATTTAAGTTTTAGATGAAAGATAAGAGCAAAATTTGTGCGAATTTAATTATCAGCAATATTTCAGAGTGAATCATAATGATTTGTACATGAGATCAATTATAGAATCTCGACGTTGATATAGTTGAAAATTCATCACAGGGTGGTACTGATAAATATATTCATTCTTCATTGAAGTTATGAATGAATTATCCGAATAATACTCAGACATACACAATCTTCTTTTTGATAATGTTTCATCAATATTCCGAGAGTCGTTGTATTCATAATAAAGTTCGAAACAGGCACAATACTAGTTTGACTCATGACTGTCTCATTTGAAATAAAAAGTAATAGTTAAGAAGTTCACATCTGTTGACTTTTCCTTTACTACTACCACTTGTATGCTACATTATGCACAGTGGCGTAATTATAAGGGGGGGCTTATATGGGAAAAAAGCAAAACGTTTTGATGAAAATAGCTAGAATAGTGAAACATATTGGTTCGAGATATTAGTATAGTTGAGTAATTTCACGGGATACTATAATACTCATACTATAATACGCATGAATGATATCACTGGTGTCATTATGACTTGAACTGACAACTGCCACTTTGAACTGATATCAATTGTCACTTTGAACTGGCAATTGCCCCAATCTCATTTTTTTGTAATTGCCATCTCAATGTTACAATTGTCAGTTGAAAGTGACAATTGCCTCTTCGAAGTGGCAATTCCATAAAAATAAAGCTATTCGCCCTCCTACGCCTTCATACTTTTATTCTACTTATTGCTAAAGAATACTCTTCCCAAATACCTATACCACTCGTTATCCGAATTGCATCAGATAATTTTCCTATTTTTATCACTCAAACTATTTAATGCGAGGCAACACCATTCAAACAAACCGAAACTCGATAAAATCACTCGTTCAAAAGGATCGAATCAGCTCGTTTCTATATATTGTCCAAATAAACAAAGAACATAAATGAATATTGATGAAATTCGAAGGATTCTTAGGAATACCTCTGATAATTTTCATGATATCGAAAAAAAAAACTATATGAACCGTGAGACTGTAATCCTTTAAGATTGAATGGTTACCTTAAGTATATGGTATATAATGTACAAATCATTATGGGTAGGTATAGTTTATCCAAAGTCAATTGGACCGCTTCGAGCCGCACGTGCACTTACTTCGAGAGGAATTTTGAACACGCCGATGCCGCGTGGTGCGGAAAAATGTTACATATGACTTTGGAAAGACTATGTTATGAAACTACAAGTGGAGAAATGATTTTAATTCTAACGCTATATAGTTGCATCATGATCTTCATTGGAAATGATAATACTACTTTTGCATTGATTGGCCAATTATATTCACTTCTATAATTGAATAATTGTCAAGTTATCTAGCTTTTCAAGATGCCTTCTATAAAAAATGTATAAGGTTATAACTGTTTCATATGCATGTTGTTCTATATATATGATGCCAAATACGTGTTAATATTGCGTTGTTAAGTATAGTTACTATTTTTGCATGTGAAGTTTCGAATATGATATTTGGATATTTATTTTATATTGTCTATGAACTTACAGATTAGGAATTTCTCTAAAATTAAATGTATTCTCTATTAAATAGCGTAGTTTTATTCTGAATAGAGCAAGATAGAGCAAGATAACAATTCAAGTCATGGGTAAGAGTTAGGCAAACATTGCTTAGTCAGAGGGTCATTCCAACTGAATATACTCTACTATACAGGGTGAGTCATTAATGTGGTAAAGTGACATAACGGCTTCACAGTTTGAGATAGATAGACAAAAGTTCCAGAGATGATCTAGGATCATGAGCAGCATACATTTCCGAATCAATTTGCTCCATACTCAGAAATGCGTAGCGTATCAAAAATATAATTTTTCTTATAAAACACCCTGTATTTCATTGCATTTTCGCATTCTCCTTTGTGAGCTGATTTCATCAATGCACCAATCTTGGGGTCTAGCGAGAATGATAACAGAGATATAGGGTGTTCAAAATCGAGATTTTCCAACTTTAGGATTTTTTTTTGCGTCGAAACTATTCGTTATTGGTCAAAACGGCTTCCATGTCCTTGTCCCAACTTTTGATTTACTATCTACTGATGATATTTACTTGAAACAAATACAGGGTGGTTCAAGATTCAGCATTCTGATCACTCTTATTGTATCTGTATCTTGTATCTTATTTTGTTTCTTCATTTTTCAGAAGAATAATTCTTCTGTGAGTTATCGCGGGTGGACGACATACTAGGTTATTCTGTCATCATAACCCGTTTCGACAAATATATACTATATAGGTTTAGCCATCATCAATGTTATTTGGAATTTCCAAATGAAAATAATAACCAGTTTTTCATATATATAGGTGTATGCGTGTTCTTCTATGCATTTTGAACTGAGAAGAGCATATAAAAATTGTGAGGACTATTTTCACCTGAGGCCATTTTTCATCGCAGATCTACTATGTGTGTATATATTTAGATCTATGACTATATACGGATGAATGAATGAAGTTACGAAGCAGATGTTCAACATTATCGTGCCTCCACGAATTCTGTACTCTTGTCTTATCACTCGCTAATTGGTATGTACCTGATTAGATTTATTGTGCCTCATCATCTCTTTTACTATCTCTAGGTCTTCTTGTTTATAGCACCCTCTCAAGCTTCAATTCTATTAGGAATTCGAGGATTTTGAGAGGATCTGTTCCTATTAGGTATTTCTTTCAGGGTCTGCTGGTATATAGTCCCAGTATGTTTAATTTTGTGTGATGTTCGTACCTATAGCATAAAAATAGGTAGGTACCATATCCTCATTATATTGTACATAAATAACTCACCACCAACGGCACCACCCATTTTCACCAGAAATCATTCATTATTTGAGTATACCTATATTAGAGGCTTAGAATGTCTTACCCTCAATTTCCTGAAATGAGAGCTGATATCCGGTTATATTGTTGTTGCACCTGAGATGCTTACAATTCAACACAATGGGGTATACCTATCTGGCAAATGATTTTCTATATATAACAATAAAGAAAGATTCACTTTTGTTGCAATTGAGATGCTTATACTCACCTACGACTACGATAACAGAACCTCACATAGATTGCTTCATTATCAATCATTATTGCTCAAAATTTCATACCTACTTAAACTTCTCGAACTACAAACAGGACTGTGTAGTGTGTATATAGTGTATACGCTAATGTTGTCGTATCGCCGCCATCTTCTTGACTCTTTCATTTAGCCTCTCTCCGCGGGTCCGTGTGGTCGTGGTCCTTACCCTAGCCTCGGTACACGGTACCTCGAGTAAGATTGACAGGTTAATATTTGCGGGAAGTTCGACAAGTGCAAGTGTTGAAAATGACTTCATGTTGTAACATTTTTCAATTAATCCAGAAATACTTTAATTTCGCGATATTGTCAAATCAATATTCCCTTCAAATCAAACACATCAATATTTCCGAATTTTATTATCTTCATTTACTATAGTATAGGTACTACATTATTTCCAAATTCCATATTGTTTCTATTCACTAGACTATAACGAATAACTTATTCAGATATCCAAATATAAGGAATTGCAATAATCATCAAATAATGCCAATTTTGCTGAATTGGATATTATTCGCGACTTCCAATGGATTTACCTTTGGGAGCGGAATAATCAGATGGTACCTAGCTGCGAACGAGACCACACCTCGACCACCTCTCTAAAAATGAATCTCCGGTAAGTGTAATTTCAATATTTTATTTGTAACTCATACATTCTTGTTGAAGGCGATTTATTTCCTTAACAATTATTGAATAAACATGTTCCATTTTTATCCAAGATCTTATTTATTAAATCTCCACCATCTGAGTTTACCCCCTAGGTCGTGAGCCAGGCGTTTTTCATGAACATTGAATAATAATCAAATAAAGGGGTTTTGATGGATAGGCCGGCTCGCGACAATATTTTCAATAAAATGAAAGTAGACATTAGAGTAGAGTAGTTTATTTGACCATGTTATGTAAATTACATGTACGGCAAGTCATAATTACAATAGCCATAGTGCTTAAAAATGAAGATAATCTTCACCCTCAATCACTAAAGTGCAGAAATAGATGAATTAAAATACAAGAATACATGATTAAAAATACATTATAAGTATGTTAAAGATTGAACATCAAATGATCTGAATAAAATATATAAAACAAAAAATAAGATAAAAATAAAAGAACAAAACATAAAAATAACAATGTCCTGTTGAAGGGATTGATAAATGACAGGTTAAAGCTTCAGTGAACTTGCTGACTCCATATAGGTATCAATATTATAAAAACAATGGCTTAAAAGGAACTGTTTGATGACAGATTTGAATTTTTTGAATTCCAACATTTTGACGGAGCTGTGCAGAATATTATAAATATTGCAATTTAACGAGTTTCTGCTGCTAACAGCTGATCTGTGTCGTGGGGTTCTCAATAAATTAGCCGATCTTGTATTATGACTATGAAAGTCAGACTGTTTACCAAATTTACTCACATTTTGGTGTATTTCTAGCAAAACTGTGAATATGTATAAGGTAGGCATTGGCATGATACCAAGCTTGATGAAATGTTGATGACAGTGATCTCTATAGCCTAAGTTTGCCAGTATTCGTATTCGTATTTCATTAGAAATTTGAAATAGAATTAATGATCTCAATCAAATCTGTAAATATATCGGAACATCGGAACTGATGAGCCTACAGAAAAAAAACGAATTATTACCAACCTATTTTCGATTCCAAAACAAAAAATCATAGATAGATTTGAAATGTTCTCGATATAATAACTTTTGGAGATTCAAAACCGGACATGCAATGGATATTCGATACGGAATGATTTTGATCCAGAATAAATAATCATGAATTATCCATAGAACATCAATGCGTTCAGAATATTCTCAATCGAATAATCTGTGGATATATGTTATGAGTTTGTGAGCGATGCATCACCCACGAGACGAATTGCCCTTTTCTGGCAGAATCCAACAATTTCAGCATGTTTGGGTGCTGCACTCCAAATTTGGAAACAGTATTCCAGGACAGGTCGGATCTGTTCCTTATAGATCATAAGCAGCTGACTGGAAGTACAATAGCTCCTGTTCCGAAACAGAAAACCAAGTTTTTGGGATGCACTTTTAGCAATTGATCTCACGTGATTTTCCCAAGAAAGGTTATTGCATGCTGATAGTGATACCAAGCATCGAAATGGATGGTTACTTCTGACAAGCTTATGTTGGGCACAGTGCGAGAACGGCTTTTCTGGAGAAAAGGCATGCTTGTGTTCTGTTTGCATTGAAATCTACCAAGTTATTGGATCCCCATTCGAGAATTGTTGCCAAGTCCATATTTATATTGTCAACACTTCTCCCTCGTTCGTCCCCGAAGCTGTGTACTGGACATGAAATTGCTCCCAACAAATCGTTGATATGGAGTAAAAATAGTGTTAGTGATAGAATTGATCCTTGCGGAATACCAGCATTCATAATAAGAGAGTCAGATGAAACCCCGTAGACCACTACATGGAGAGACCTGTTTGAGAGAAAACTCTAATTAGCAGAGAACATACCTATAGATTCCGTGCGGTGCCAGACTCGATCAAATGCCTTGGAAATATCAAGTGCCACGGCTAAGGTTTCAACATATTTTTCAATAGATTGCTGCCATATATGTGAGACGTAAGCGAGCAGGTCACCAGTGGATCTCTGATGACGGAAGCCATATTGCCTATCGTTGATAATACCTGAATGTTCCAGGTATTTCATGAGCTCGATGTCGATAGCTTTCTCCATGATCTTTGAAATAATAGACTTCAGTACCCAGATAGCACCAGATATTCATAGAATGTTCTGTCAGTGTTCGATTTGGAAGATATATATCCAGATATTATATAGATGTCCTGAATATATCCAGAATATCTATAGATATTTATATATTATTCCATTTCGAATATTCATCGTAGGTTCAGTTTCGTATATCCACAGATTATTCGATTGAGAATATTCTGAACGCATTGATGTTCTATGGATAATTCATGATTATTTATTCTGGATCAAAATCATTCCGTATCGAATATCCATTGCATGTCCGGTTTTGAATCTCCAAAAGTTATTATATCGAGAACATTTCAAATCTATCTATGATTTTTTGTTTTGGAATCGAAAATAGGTTGGTAATAATTCGTTTTTTTTCTGTAGGCTCATCAGTTCCGATGTTCCGATATATTTACAGATTTGATTGAGATCATTAATTCTATTTCAAATTTCTAATGAAATACGAATACGAATACTGGCAAACTTAGGCTATAGAGATCACTGTCATCAACATTTCATCAAGCTTGGTATCATGCCAATGCCTACCTTATACATATTCACAGTTTTGCTAGAAATACACCAAAATGTGAGTAAATTTGGTAAACAGTCTGACTTTCATAGTCATAATACAAGATCGGCTAATTTATTGAGAACCCCACGACACAGATCAGCTGTTAGCAGCAGAAACTCGTTAAATTGCAATATTTATAATATTCTGCACAGCTCCGTCAAAATGTTGGAATTCAAAAAATTCAAATCTGTCATCAAACAGTTCCTTTTAAGCCATTGTTTTTATAATATTGATACCTATATGGAGTCAGCAAGTTCACTGAAGCTTTAACCTGTCATTTATCAATCCCTTCAACAGGACATTGTTATTTTTATGTTTTGTTCTTTTATTTTTATCTTATTTTTTGTTTTATATATTTTATTCAGATCATTTGATGTTCAATCTTTAACATACTTATAATGTATTTTTAATCATGTATTCTTGTATTTTAATTCATCTATTTCTGCACTTTAGTGATTGAGGGTGAAGATTATCTTCATTTTTAAGCACTATGGCTATTGTAATTATGACTTGCCGTACATGTAATTTACATAACATGGTCAAATAAACTACTCTACTCTAATGTCTACTTTCATTTTATTGAAAATATTGTCGCGAGCCGGCCTATCCATCAAAACCCCTTTATTTGATTATTATTCAATGTTCATGAAAAACGCCTGGCTCACGACCTAGGGGGTAAACTCAGATGGTGGAGATTTAATAAATAAGATCTTGGATAAAAATGGAACATGTTTATTCAATAATTGTTAAGGAAATAAATCGCCTTCAACAAGAATGTATGAGTTACAAATAAAATATTGAAATTACACTTACCGGAGATTCATTTTTAGAGAGGTGGTCGAGGTGTGGTCTCGTTCGCAGCTAGGTACCATCTGATTATTCCGCTCCCAAAGGTAAATCCATTGGAAGTCGCGAATAATATCCAATTCAGCAAAATTGGCATTATTTGATGATTATTGCAATTCCTTATATTTGGATATCTGAATAAGTTATTCGTTATAGTCTAGTGAATAGAAACAATATGGAATTTGGAAATAATGTAGTACCTATACTATAGTAAATGAAGATAATAAAATTCGGAAATATTGATGTGTTTGATTTGAAGGGAATATTGATTTGACAATATCGCGAAATTAAAGTATTTCTGGATTAATTGAAAAATGTTACAACATGAAGTCATTTTCAACACTTGCACTTGTCGAACTTCCCGCAAATATTAACCTGTCAATCTTACTCGAGGTACCGTGTACCGAGGCTAGGGTAAGGACCACGACCACACGGACCCGCGGAGAGAGGCTAAATGAAAGAGTCAAGAAGATGGCGGCGATACGACAACATTAGCGTATACACTATATACACACTACACAGTCCTGTTTGTAGTTCGAGAAGTTTAAGTAGGTATGAAATTTTGAGCAATAATGATTGATAATGAAGCAATCTATGTGAGGTTCTGTTATCGTAGTCGTAGGTGAGTATAAGCATCTCAATTGCAACAAAAGTGAATCTTTCTTTATTGTTATATATAGAAAATCATTTGCCAGATAGGTATACCCCATTGTGTTGAATTGTAAGCATCTCAGGTGCAACAACAATATAACCGGATATCAGCTCTCATTTCAGGAAATTGAGGGTAAGACATTCTAAGCCTCTAATATAGGTATACTCAAATAATGAATGATTTCTGGTGAAAATGGGTGGTGCCGTTGGTGGTGAGTTATTTATGTACAATATAATGAGGATATGGTACCTACCTATTTTTATGCTATAGGTACGAACATCACACAAAATTAAACATACTGGGACTATATACCAGCAGACCCTGAAAGAAATACCTAATAGGAACAGATCCTCTCAAAATCCTCGAATTCCTAATAGAATTGAAGCTTGAGAGGGTGCTATAAACAAGAAGACCTAGAGATAGTAAAAGAGATGATGAGGCACAATAAATCTAATCAGGTACATACCAATTAGCGAGTGATAAGACAAGAGTACAGAATTCGTGGAGGCACGATAATGTTGAACATCTGCTTCGTAACTTCATTCATTCATCCGTATATAGTCATAGATCTAAATATATACACACATAGTAGATCTGCGATGAAAAATGGCCTCAGGTGAAAATAGTCCTCACAATTTTTATATGCTCTTCTCAGTTCAAAATGCATAGAAGAACACGCATACACCTATATATATGAAAAACTGGTTATTATTTTCATTTGGAAATTCCAAATAACATTGATGATGGCTAAACCTATATAGTATATATTTGTCGAAACGGGTTATGATGACAGAATAACCTAGTATGTCGTCCACCCGCGATAACTCACAGAAGAATTATTCTTCTGAAAAATGAAGAAACACGTCGATTTTCATTTGGAAAAAGAGGACACCTTTTGGCAAAATAAGATACAAGATACAGATACAATAAGAGTGATCAGAATGCTGAATCTTGAACCACCCTGTATTTGTTTCAAGTAAATATCATCAGTAGATAGTAAATCAAAAGTTGGGATAGGAACATGGAAGCCGTTTTGACCAATAACGAATAGTTTCGACGCAAAAAAAATCCTAAAGTTGAAAAATCTCGATTTTGAACACCCTATATCTCTGTTATCATTCTCGCTAGACCCCAAGATTGGTGCATTGATGAAATCAGCTCACAAAGGAGAATGCGAAAATGCAATGAAATACAGGGTGTTTTATAAGAAAAATTATATTTTTGATACGCTACGCATTTCTGAGTATGGAGCAAATTGATTCGGAAATGTATGCTGCTCATGATCCTAGATCATCTCTGGAACTTTTGTCTATCTATCTCAAACTGTGAAGCCGTTATGTCACTTTACCACATTAATGACTCACCCTGTATAGTAGAGTATATTCAGTTGGAATGACCCTCTGACTAAGCAATGTTTGCCTAACTCTTACCCATGACTTGAATTGTTATCTTGCTCTATCTTGCTCTATTCAGAATAAAACTACGCTATTTAATAGAGAATACATTTAATTTTAGAGAAATTCCTAATCTGTAAGTTCATAGACAATATAAAATAAATATCCAAATATCATATTCGAAACTTCACATGCAAAAATAGTAACTATACTTAACAACGCAATATTAACACGTATTTGGCATCATATATATAGAACAACATGCATATGAAACAGTTATAACCTTATACATTTTTTATAGAAGGCATCTTGAAAAGCTAGATAACTTGACAATTATTCAATTATTCAAAAAACCTCGAAGTGAGTAACAATATCAACAGAACAAAGACACTATTAATTTCTAGTTATATCAATTCATTTATATTCAGGATTCTTGTTTTTTTTTTTTTTTTTTTTTTTTTTTTTTTTTTTTTTTTTTTTTGTGATCTACTATAGTACTTATTGGTTAATATTATTGAAAACTCAGAATGAATCAATATCTCAGACAGTTCCATATTGAAACAGTTGAAACGAAAATAATTGAAGATCCCTCACAACTAATGAATCTAGATAATACTAAAGTAGATATAAAAATACTTCACAATAATATTAGGAGTGTAAATGCAAATTTAGATCAAATGAAAGTACTACTAGAAGAAACTAAACATATTTTTGATGTGATAATTCTATCTGAGACTTGGCAAATTAGAGATATAGACTTATATAATATGAACGGGTATAATCTGATTTACAATCATGGCAATGTGAATCAAAATGATGGAGTAATCATTTTCATCAAAAATAATTTATATTTCACACATGATATAATACATCTATCGAATGGAATGAAAATGATACAGCTGAAAGTCAAACTTCATGATAGAAATATACATTTAACAGCTATTTACAGATCACCATCTACACCTACTAATGATTTCATTGAGAGTTTATCTGAATTTCTTGAATCTTGTGAAGACAACAATATTAGCAATCACATTCTGATTGGAGATATGAATATCAACATAATGGAGAATGATGATATTACAAATAGCTATTTGAATACGCTCAGTGCTCATGGATTCATATCCCATATAAATTCTATAACGAGGATCAACTCTGGTACTTGCATAGATCATTGTTTTGTGAAAGATGCCTCTAATAACTTCAAATACAATTCATTCGTTATAGAAACAGATATAACTGATCACTTTTCTATTGCACTGCAGATCATTTCACCTGAAACAACAAAAATATCATCAGAAATAACAAAATATAAAAAATTCATTGATAACAAAAAACTAAAACAAAATATAAGCGAAGAGAATTGGCTGGATCTATATTCAACAGATGATATTGAACTCGCCGCTCAAATATTCATTCAAAAAACCAATGAAATCGTGGAAAAAAGTACAAACACAATTAAACTTAGTAGGAAAAACATAAAAAGAAATCCGTGGATTACTGATGGCATACTCAAGTCCATTCATGAAAAATGCAACATTTATAGAACAATGAAAAGGAACCCAACAGAAACAAATAAAACAAAATATAATCAATACAAAAATAGACTGAAAATAATAATGGAAGAATCAAAATTAAATTATTATCGAAACAAAATAGGAAGAAATAAAGGAGAATCCTCAAAACTATGGAAAACCATAAATGAAATGATAAGTAAAGGATCAAACGACAACACAATCAAAGAGATCCAATGCAATGATGGCTCAATGATTAGTGACCAAAAACAAATTGCCAACGAATTCGTTCAACACTATAGCAAAATTGGAGAAATTTTGGCGAATGAAATACAAGAAAGACCAACCTACAAAAAAAATAAATCGAAAACCAAAATCATTAATTCCTTTTTTCTAGAAAAAACTGATGAATGTGAAGTCTTACAAGTTATTCAGAACTTGAAAAACAAAAAATCACCTGGAATTGACACTCTTAGAGCTGAAACTATTAAACTGATAGCAAGAGAACTGGCAACACCATTGACGTACCTAATAAACTGGTCATTCAGTAGTGGGATATGTCCAACTCCATTCAAATGTGCTGTCATTTCACCAATATTCAAGTCTGGTAATAAACTCAAAGTTGACAACTACCGCCCAATATCTGTAATTACAAATTTTGCAAAAATATTCGAAACCATTTTGAAATCACGCATTGAAACTTACCTAACAAAATATAATATTTTATCGAAAAATCAATTCGGATTTCAAAAAAGCAAGTCAACTGAAGATGCAATAACACTGCTCACCAACAAAATCGGTAAATATATAGACGAAAAATTACCATCACTATGTATATTCGTGGACCTGAAGAAAGCATTCGATACTGTCAGCCATAACCAGCTTCTAGAAGTACTTGAGAGTATTGGATTCAGAGGAATATCCCACCAACTCCTTCGTAGTTATCTCAATGAAAGAAGTCAATTTGTTAAAATCGGAGACATTTTCAGTGAATCTCGAAGAGTTCAATATGGTGTACCCCAGGGGACAGTTCTGGGTCCAATCCTCTTCAACATCTACTTAAATGACCTTTTTACACTAGAAGTGGAAGGGGACATAATAAGCTTCGCAGATGACACTGTTGTTATTTATAAATCGGAAACATGGAACTCTCTAAAAGAAAAAGCTGAAAGAAATTTCAAAACTATAATTCAATGGTTTGAAAGTAAACTTCTGACTATTAATATGAGCAAAACATTTTACATAACTTTCACATCATATGCTAACAACTTACCAAGTTTCAAATCACTCCTCATAAAATATGAAAGCGTAAATCTCGCTATCTCACCAGTAAACAAAATAAAGTATCTTGGCATATATATAGACGCTCACTTGAAATGGGACGCACATATTGATTATTTGATACGAAAATTGCGTAGTGTAACATACAGGATGAAATATATGACACCCTATCTAGATATAGCTCAGATGCGCATACTCTACTATACTTTGTTTGAAACCCACCTCTCCTATGGGATAGTTGCCTGGGGAGCAGCAAATGCCTCTCATATAAAAAATCTAGAACAAATGCAGAAATTGACTTTGAAAATAATCACTAATAAAAAAAGGACTTACCCTACAGAAGCGCTATATAAAGAAACATCAATTCTGGACATACGACAACTGTACTTTTTCAAAACTGTTATAAGGCAACACAAAAATAAACATGAACTCAAAAAAATTGAACACCAATATGCAACTCGCCACAAAATAAATTCAACCTATGTGCCAAAATCACAGAAGAACACTTTACAAAAGTGTTATAGTTATTTAGCTCCTCGGCTGTATAATATCATTCCAGCAGACATCAAAGCTATCGTTAGTAATAATTTATTCAAAAAGAAACTCAAAATTTGGATCCTGAATTTGCCCAGAGTACATATTCACCATTATGTCGATATGAAAAATACATATCACTACAGTACATAAATAGTCGTGTATAGATTAGATAGA